TTATTTCTTCTATTTTCTATGTGGATATCACCTATGTGCGTTTTTTTTTCTTTTTCATTTCTCATTTTACTTTTATGTTATTTCATGTTTTGGTCATTATCGTTCAAGTTTTTCATATATGTTTTTATATTTTTTCTTTTACTATTTACTACAAATAATTTGTATATTTTAAAGTCTTTCTCATTTTGGAAAAAAAAAATCAATAATTTGACTTTTACTTCATATCTTCAGTTCATATATATATATATATATATATATATATATTGGTTGTAACTTAAATCATCATTGTTTCAATTCCAATATTCTTGTATACAGTGGACAAGTTGCACAAGTGCTTGTATCATGTATAAGGTGTTTAATTTTGTTTTTGTTGTGTGGTGACTTAGGAGTGAGGGTTTGAATTGGATTTATAATGAGTATTATACAATGTAAAGTGCCTAAGGGAATCTCCTTGTATGCTCAACTATAAAGTATATGTTAAGATTCCAACCGGTAAAATGTTTTACTAATGCATTTAGGAGGGTAGGAATGTGTAAGAAAGCTACAAGTTTTTTCATATATGTATTATGGCATGACTTTTAATTCATATATATTAATATAATAATTTACTTATTTAAAAAAAATGAGTATGAGTAATATTTGATTTATTGAATTGGGTGTGGGAATTGATATATATAACTGTCTCGTATTCATATCTGCTTTAAAATTTGTAAGAACTTATTTTTTTTTAGAATTTACTTGACATTTATATAATTCTTACTTTATTTTAAATTTATTTCAAGTGAAACTTAATTAATTTAATTTTATAATTGTTACTTTATTAAAAATTATTTTTTATAAAAAAATATTTAATTAATTTTTGAGCGGGTATATAACAAGTATAAGAATGAGGATGCGACAAAGATATTGAAACCCGTACTCAGGTCCAGTAATTTGTGCTTATTTTTTTTCTAAATACTTTTTGCTTAATTTATAAACAAAACAAGTATTTTCTTATTTAATTAATCAAAATACAAATTAAGAAGTATGACATTACCCATTTTTTAAACAACAAAACTTGCAATGCACCTAAACTTATACACTTGTTATTGAAATTAAAAGAAAGCATGATTTAAAAGAATTAGTGGATAGAGGTTTTTGGTATATGAGTAAGATAAAGTGATGAGAATCCGTTGTTTAACTACAGCAACAGTTGATATATAATAGAGATTGGGTCCATGTCAACGTTGGCATTGGGAGGACCAACATAGAACAGGATGGTTTGGTTCCCAGTTCCCACCATGTCCTTACACAAAATACACATACCCCAAAACACCCGTGGGCTACCCTTTGCAGTTTGCCCCCACACTCCACATGAACCCTCTCTCTCAATTTCATAAATACACCCATCCCCCCATCTCTTCCCACCACTTCCGATTCTTTATTCTCTCTCTCTCTCTCTCTCTCTCTCCAAACATGGCCATCAGAAAATCAAACAAGCCTTCCCAAACCACAGTCCTGAAGCAAATCCTCAAGAGGTGCTCAAGCCTAGGAAAGAAGAACAACGGCTATGACCATGATGACCATGATGAGGCTCTCCCTCTCGATGTTCCCAAAGGCCACTTCGCTGTCTACGTTGGGGAAAACAGAAGCAGATACATTGTCCCCATCTCATTTTTGACCCACCCTCAGTTTCAGTCTCTCCTCAGACAAGCTGAGGAAGAATTTGGCTTCGATCACGACATGGGTCTCACCATTCCCTGCGAAGAAGTTGTTTTCCGCTCTCTAACATCCATGCTCAGATGAACATTCAAACAAAGGACCACTTCCTCAGATCGATCGATGCGTCTTTCTGCTTGCGCTTCCTTCAACAAAGGTGGCCAAGATATATACATGGAGCATTTCTTTTGCTTCTCTTTTTTTCACATCGATCCATCTGATCCCTTCCTTTGTTTCGCCATCTACTTCTTTTTTGTCCCATTTTTTAACATCCCCATGCCATTTGGGTTTTTATGTTCCTTATGCGACTCTAACTTTTGCTCCTCATAAGTATTGGGGGTGAAAAATTGTATAAAGCCCTTGTACTGTACGTTGTTCAGATTTTCCTCGCAGAGGTTCTATACTATATACCCTGTGAGAGAAGTTAGTTTTTTCAATCCAACATGCAAATTTCTACTCATTGCCAACTCTCTCTTTCTCTGTATCTACAACGCCCTGTACATGGTTAAAAAAAATCTAATACTTTACAATCTATTATATAAATTTAACTATCTACTGGTTATACTAGATCTCGTTGATAAGACAGAACAAACATGAATATCTGTACCTCATGTGGAATCCGATTTTGAAAGGAATCATTCATAGACGTAAATAAAAATTATATTATTAACTAATTAAATTATTATTCATATAATTTATAAAATAATTATTATAGAGATCGATAAATGTAAGTTACATAACTAAATGATTATGTAAAATACTTTTATACTATTTGTGCATACACTGGTTAATAAAGAAATTATAATATATCTCGATCTTAAAATAGGAAAAATAAAGTGAAAGTAGAACTAGATTGGAATTTTTTTTAAAATATTTTCCAATTTGAGAATCTTGTAAAAATCAATCATCATCTAAGTAAATATTTTTTACTAATAATATAATTAACAATAAAAATAACAAAAAGAAAAAAAATGGTAATAAATGAAAGTAGTAAAAAAAAATATATGCAATTGAAAAGGCAGAAAAATAAGATAATAGAGGAAATTGAAATATGCTTATCATTTATCTTTATTATAAAATAAAAAAACAGAGAGAGAGAGAGCAGAGCAGAGCATGCACAGGTTGTCAGAGAACGTGGTGTACTTAAGTGTACGGATCATCTGAGCTCAACTTTTAAATTAAAAACCAGATAGAATGCCCCACATCGTATGAGTACCATATTAAGGAAGAATAGGTCCAAGCGAGTAAAAGAAGCAGTATAAAAATCACACTAACTTTGCTTAAACAACAGTATACTTCCCCACACTATGCATAATAAAAAATAATTACTTCCGCATACCCATAACTATATTCAGAAGAAATGAGACAAAAATTAATTTTCTAAATAAATTTTCATTTTTTTTCTCTTGAATTTAAAACTTCAATTAATTTTTTTATTCCATTTCATTTTCGTTCTTCACAAGAAAAAAAAACACTAAATTATTAGACTGATCAGCGCATCCTCACTTAACTTTATATAATATAATATCAGATCAACCTTTATATCCTAAAATACAAGTTTGTTCGAATACAAATTTAAAAAGATTTTTTTATTAAAAACATACTCCTTGATATTTTTAATAAAAAAATCATAAAAATCCAACCATGTATATATGCAAACAGATTCTTTGACCACTAAACAGACTTTAAAAAAGCTGATGGAAGAATTCAAAACCTGCTCAAAATAGATAAACCTAGTAAAGTGAAAAAAAAAATATAAACAAATTAGTTTATAACGAGTCAATAAAAAATATTTCATATAAAGTTAGTGTAAATTTTTGGCAGAAAAAAAAAATAACCTGCAATATTTTTATTTTAAATATAAACTTGTTATTAAAACAATAAATATTATTATATTATTAACATTTAAACTTAAATATTATGATAAATTTGATTTAGATATTTGTGTACTAAAGGACTGAAAACACACATCACTATATAAATAGAGACAATGTTTAGCCTTGCTTCTTATTATCACTTCCGTATGCTTGCAGATTAATTTCTACGGCCAAATAGTGTTAGAAAATAAGAATGATAGAAGAAAAGATAGTGCACAGAATAATATAACTATATAAGTAATATAAAAATTTCTTAACATACAAGTTAAAAATAATTATATTAAAGAGTTTTTTTAAAAAACTTCAACAATAGCTATTTTAAAGCTTTTTTTAACAAAATGTTTTTTTTTAAATTAATCTTAACATGGATAATATATACATGTTTGGAAGTTACAAAATTTCAAAACAAATTAAGTTGATATTTTTTTGAAGTAAAACTATATTATATTGCTTCACAGTATTTGTTGGTTTCGAGGGAGAAATTGAAAGAAAGGGGTTCGAAGGTATGAGTATGAGGGGAGTGGTAGCAGAGCCTAGGAATGCAAATGATTATTGGCATTAACTAAAGGGAAAGCAAGTTGCATGAAAACAAAGTTTGAAAGGAACTTGGCTTCCTTTTGCAGAGAAGGACCAGCTGAGAAACAAAAGGCTGCCTCTGGTTAAATGGTCCTATCTTCATTATCAATGCTTGATGCTTCTTTTTGTTTCCTTTCTTTCAGCCACAAACAGATTCTCTCATTCACAACTCTTCTATAACTGCCTCACCAAACAATATCTTCCCTTCTCCAGCATACAATTTTTATTTTCCTTAATTCATAAAAATAGAATCATCCATCATTTCTTACTTCATGCATGAATCTCTCCTATATGATTAAGAACTTATGAGTTGATTTCAAAAATAGCAAGTTCAATTGGGACTATTTTTCCCTGTGTGTCAACCGATGATCATTGCTCTTGCGTTTGACTCGATACCTAAAATGTAACGTACGTCCTTGATATATAATTTTTCGGGTAATAGTCACTTCATATATACTACTGCTGAAAATCAGTAACACACATGATTTCCACCTTAAAAAAACAGCTAGTCCTCTTCTGGTAATAAAGACTAGTGCTTCAAAAAGAAAGTTTAAGCATTTCTCTTATTAGTTTTTTAATCACAAATTGCAAATATTTTCTGATATTATTAGTTTTCTTGGATCTACTGTGAAGAATATTTGTGATCTACATCGACATTGACGTGGGATTTCTCTGTGGAATTTTGTCCCAAAGTGCCCCACCCATGTTCTCACCTATTTCCTGGAAAGAGCCCATATTGGTGTATTATGTTACTAATTTACTATACTAGTCTTACGTTCAGAATCAGACTCTTAATGCTATATATGATTCTATATCTATCGTGTGGCTTTCATGCTTTGTATCCAAAACTATGTTAAAAGCAAATTAACGATAAAAGATATTATTGTCAATCAAATTTGAAAATAAGAAACTTATTTGTAGTCACTATAGTGTGTGTAAGAAATTGAAAGTTCTTGCATATATATTTCAATTGTTATTTTCATATTATCTTTTTGTCTTTTAGGTCAAGTGTGGGCATTTGGACATAGGGCAAATGAAAAGGACTTTGTGGGGAAGGAGATGGAGGATGGGATGTCGTTAGGCTGAAAACCATGTTGGGCTCCAAAACACATTCGGGAGTGATACGGTGAAAGCTACACATATCATAGCTCATCACCACCATTTGCATTTTGAAACATAGTTTCATATATATTCGATTCTTCAAAATCATGTGAAATGTATATTAATTAATAAGTGATTTTATATAAATTTTAGGTTTAAATATAACTTTCATTCATGTAATTTAACACTTTTTTTATTTTTAGTTCTTATAAATATTTTTTTATTAATTCATGTCTAACTTTTTATAATGTTTCAAAAATAGTCTTTATCAATTCATGTTAAAAAAATTAATATAAAAAATAGAATATATATTATCTTTGTTATATTTTATTTCATCATTACTATGAAGGTAAATTAATTTTAATTTTTTTAGACAAAATATTAAAATGCAGTCAAACTCATACCCTTATCCTTAAGATCACACTTCCTCTCTTCAATTCAAATTTGACGTCACAATCTCTAATTAAATCTCTCTATCTCACTAAGGAGGAATTCAATCTCACATTTAGCTATTTCTCATTGTGCAGGAGCTCATGCATTGTCAAAGCATACACCACTTCGTTGGCATCACTGCCAATACCACCTCCTCCAAGGTTATGAAGAATTGTGTTGGTTGGCTTGGTATATGAAGATTGTCACCATTGTGATCGTCACCACAACAACAAGCAAAACACCTCACCGAAGAAGAGAGGTCGATAGTCCAACTCCACTACTAACAATAATCAAGACGTGGTGTTCCATTACCGTAGAGCACGTGCGTGAAAAATATGATGAAATGTCGACAATAAAGTATATTTTGAAATTTTGTTTAAAAAATTAAAATTAATTTACCTACGTAATAATAGTGAAATGGAATATAACACATATAATAGGATTTTTTTAAAAAGAAATTGTCAACATAAACTACTTTTAAAATGTTATAAAAGGTTAAAGATAAGATTAAAAAAAAGTAGAGGATTAAATGTAAAAAAAAATTACTTGAAATTTATATTTAAAAATTAAATTTATATTTTTTTTTCATATTAATAATTGATATTGGATCCGTAATTGATTTTAAATTAAAATAATTTCAAGAAATTTCTGTGTTGGATAAAAATTTTATACAAAATTAATTTTATTAATGTTTGTTCAAACACACATTGTTGTTATTATTTTTATTTTAGAGAAGAAAAAAAATTACAAACGAAGTAAAATAATTTTACATTATATTTAATTATAAATCACTATTAAGGTGACTTTGTCAACTTTAAAATAATCACATTAAAAATAAAATTCATACAAATGATAAATTTTTTCTTTGTTAAGATGACCATCAAACCCTTTCATTTTTCCCTAGGGGCGCTTAAGTACAAGTTATAAATAGCATTAGAAAATTATCATATCGTTCCGTCGTCAGAATGAAATTGAGGTAAACATTTTTATTTTATTTTTTGTATTTCCTCAAATGTGAATAGTATTAAAGTAATAAAATAATTCTTGAACCTGTATCACGTGTAACAACGACAAGAATGCTTGAACACTCAGTAATTAAGCATTCAAAAATGGTTATTCTCGTTGCACTATCAAATCTTCTATCATAAATCATAAGTGAGGAATTATGAGTAGCATAAAGCACGAAATATGTGCCAGTTGTCTTTGGAGCTTTTTTCCTATCATTAACATGTGAGTTCAAAGAAATTGAGAGAAAAATAAAGGGAAATTAGTGATTAAGAACATAAACATATAACGGCATTTAATTGGGTTATGAAATATAATTTTAGATTGGAGATTCACATGAATGGGGGTATATCGTATGGGGGCCGATCTGACCGAATACCCGACCCCTCGAATACTCGGGCCGAACACCCGACCCTCCGAATACTCGGGCCGAACACCCGACCCCT